CTCCCCCTCCCCCTCCACCTCCCCCTCCTCCTCCTCCTCCTCCTTTATTGAAATAGAATTGGGTTTTCTCTGCTGGAAGAAATACATTATCAGATTTATGAGATTGATTCAATCGTCATTTGATTAATTATTCAGCTGAACTGTATTGATTGTTGATTCAGTTTCTGTGTGAGTGCCTGGAGAAAGGTCCCAGTTTTATGCAAAGCTATTTTTGAGCAATGCGATGAAAAGGCGAAAATTTATTTCCATCAGAAAACACACATTTAACAATTTTTTAGTAACACATTGAAAGGATTTTGTAATATTTTAAATCTGAATATTTTTATTAGCTGTTTTTGCAACATGTGTACATCACCAAAGGTTTAAAAATGTGCTAGAAATTGGTTTTTTTCTTCAAACTTTGTTTTTACACTATGTGTTACAAAATGTGGCATATCTTTAAAACTGCCTCAGATTTTTGAAAATGAAAAAAACCAGCATTGAATTTGCTACAAGAATAGTAGGCCCTTATTTTAATATCCGAAATTTCTGACAGCTGGGACCTTTCTCCAGGAACACACATATTTTAAAGAATATTACGGAGTCTAGGATTAGGCTTGTCATGAAGCAGTAACAACATAAGAACCTAAAATACAGTCCAACTCAATCTAGGAGCCACCAGTGCGAGATAATCACCTGCGCTAAACAACCCTCTTCCCTCTTTTGCATTTTTCTGCATCATAATGTAGACTTTTCAAGACATCCACCTCCTGTCTAAGACTACCACGTTTCTACTCTACAGTGGATGAATATCTTGGATAACTTCGGCTGTATTCACATTCTATTGTAAATCTGTGTGTAGTTGGCGGGTGCTCTGGTGTGGTTTGTCTCTTCTTTCCTATCAAAAACTATCGTCCTTCTCTCTCCTTCTTTTTTTGTGTTTGTTACTGTCTTGTAACATCTCTAATCTTCAGCACTTATATGACTTTATTGTGTTGCGAGTGCTGTAAAACTTTTACTAAAACTTTTAAAAATATAACAAATTGTAAAGCTTACTTTTCCAATGGTTGGTACGTTGTTAAAAACTGTTTTGTTTCCACATCACTCACAGCAAATATAATGTCTTAATGCTCGTGTTTTCAAAACAGTTCTATTTCCTGTTTACACAGAACCGGTATGGTTGAAATTTCTTGGGTTTTTCTTCTTAGGTGTGGATCTGCAGAGACTTTTGGCATTTTTCTTTGCCATTGACCGCATCAACAACAATGCTGACTTCACTTTGCTAGACTCCATCAAGCTGAACGGCCTTGCTTTGGACAGCTGTACCCATGTAAGTTCTTTTGTTATA